CTTCCTAATTCTTTAAGTTCTTTCCTGCTTCCTTTTGTATTCCTCATGGGCTTTGTGTGATTTCAGTTTTCTAAACTTTACATATGTTTCAGTTTTCTTTTTGACTAAACTTTGTCTGTCATCCAGAGTTCCCAAATCTTGCTATCTTTCTCTTTCATCCTCACAGGAATGTGCTGGTCCTGAACCCTGCTTAGCTGGCCTTTAAAAGACTCCCATATGTCAGATGTAGATTTACCCTCAAACAGAGACCACCAATCTAGTTTGGATGTTTTCAGGGGCTGCTCATCTTTCAAACAATCTTCCCTTTCTGTAAATCTATATTTAATGCACTCTGACTACTGCAGTGCAATTTTAATTCTAACTGTTGGACCTGGCAAAGTCTAAATGCCTCTTAAACATTTGTATCGTAACTGTCTCTACCATTTCCCCTGGCAGTGCCACCGCTGTTTTAAAAAAAAACACTTGGCTTACACATCTCCTCTTAAACTTTACCTCTCATCTTAAATCTGAGCCCCGTACATTTTCACCCTGTAAAACAGACTCTGACTCTCTACCCTATCCATGCCTGTCCTAATTTTATATGTTCTGGCAGCAGCATATTATGAGTAACCTTGCTGGAGTTTAGTCCTTCAATCCAGCAAAGCAAATGTCACTGAGAAACCACCTGCAGTACTTGTGCCTGTTTGTGCCTTTTGATAAAATCATTAATGGCTGAGACCATTAGATATCTGCTTGGGCTGAGCAGCTGCCTTGTTTCTGGCAGTCCTGTGAGTGCATTTGAGTTGATTTGAGAAAGGGTACCCATCAAGTTTAAAGTTTCTGAGTTGCTGTAAGGTGCAGTTGAAAACCTTGCCAGTGCATCCTCTAAACATTGAGTCATTTCCGCCTCCAAGCTGGAGGTGGAGCCGGGTGTCTTTGGTACTGACCTCTTCCTAGTGGAGGTTTACTGGATGCTTCATAAGAGAAGTAAGTTACTTGTTTGAGAGAGATTAAGAATACATTGTATTAGTGATATTGAAAGAGCAGCACAGCACCATGTACCTTTTATTGGGTTGGTTGGCCATTGAAGTCTCCCATCCCCAACTTGTTGCTGCCCCTTGCACCCTGTCATCCACCTGCTTTGTCCTCTTGGTCACTTTTTCCCCTGTGGTGACACAGAGGGAGGAATTGAGTTTCGTGAAAGTGTACAAAAGAGCATTTAGTGTTAGCATGTGAGCAGGAGAGAACATGAGGGGCCTCCAGTGAGTGAGTCAGAAGCGCAGAAAAAATATCAAGTTCATATACCTATTTGATTGATAACTGTTTAAATTGTTCTCGTTAGTCAAAATGTTGCTCACTTTTTTCTGTCTTATGGCACCTTAGCTGGTTGGAAACTTGTTTTGCACTGTTTTTCTTGGTTCTTGCAACTGCCAAGACTCATACTGCAAGTTTACGTCGAAGATGATAAAATGCTCATAAAAATTAAACATTTATGGAAGGGTTAAAAGAAAAGTAAACATTATGTCTTGGTCAGCAATCTGCGAGGTAAACAGGAAAATCATAAGATACTTTGACAGACGAAGGAAATCCTGCTGTACTGCCTCCTGTGGATTTATAACAAGGGCACTTATCTCAGAATCTTCTGAATTCTGACTCCTTTGAAGCATGCATTCTGACACATCAGCTCTAAGCTGCTCTTGTGACAACTTTTAGGTCTCAAATAATGTCAATTGGTGGGAAGTCTGCAAGTGTGCACTGTAGATTCTTTGTATCAGAACTTGAACTTGGCTATAAAATGGAAATCCTGTTAGCCACTGCTACATTGTAATTTTATTTTGTTGTAGTTTGAAGTTTGAAAAGTTCAATGGCAAATGACTGAAAAGTTTTGATATGATGAACCAGCTGTGCAACAGGTTTGGCATCATAGCTCCATGAAGTTTGGAAACAGAAACATTGTCATGAAACATTTGCAGCTTTGTGTTGGGGTTTGGTGTGTTTGAGTAAATTCTATATATTGAATAAAGAAGATGTGGTATTCCGGAGGAATTCATATGTAACTTTGAACTCAGGCTTGTGATGATTTAATCCCCACCTCCTTTTCACACCAGTATTCAAATCCTCTCAGGTTAACTCTTTAGGATATCGGTATGTGGCCCCAAGGCTGTCACTTGTGGTCCTAAAATGTGCACAACCTACCTCTGATTTCCCTGGAAAGGTAAGATATTTTGGTGGTTGGAGGAACAAGTGAATAGTTTCACAAGTGGTATTCATCACTAACAGGAGGCTGCTAATTTTGTCTTCACTGAACATCTGTACACGTGGACTTCCAGTGCATGTGTTTTTCTCCTAAAATTTTGAACTAGATACTTGCCACGTAATTTGTGATTAATGTATATTATGTAATTAATTTCTAAATAGAAGTATTATTTGATTTCAGATATTGACCACAATTCTTTGACAGTTGAAATAGATAGTGATTTTGAACTAGAGAAAATTTGTGCTATACGATCATACCAGAAATCTGTTGTGACTGCTGATTCTAATTTCATATAGCTGACAGAGAGGAAACGGTCTGACTTGAAGTAAAAATGAAACATGGTAACCCTATCATTATGTAGTTCCCTCATAGTTATGGACGATCATTCTCTTCCTTTTGTTTAGCTCTATCATTGTCTTCCTCTTGCATTCTACATTGATGTAGCAGGTTGATGTTATGGGAGTGACATGACTGGAAAATCTGAACTTTAATTTATTGAGCTGTACATGTTCTGAATTGGTCCTGGTCCAAAGTAAACTCTTACTTTTGGCTAGTTTCTGTAGCAAGCCTTATTCAGAAGCAGTGCAGTGTAGTTGACAGTGAAGATTCATTACTGAGTTACACAGACATAACAATGTGCTGGCTGTTTAGGTGCTTTTACATGCTGCAAGAAAAATACATGTTGCTCTGGAAATAATCCTCTAAGATCTGCATGTGTAAACATGGAAGTTATTTTAATCAGATATTGCAGGTTACACATACATTACAGATTGTATAATTCTAAGTCTAAATTAGGTCATTGGGATTTCATGTCAAAAAGATACCAGGAAGAATCAAACTCGATTGCAATTGGAAGGGTGAAATGATTTTTTTTTTTAGTTGAAACAAGAAAAAATAGAACCTATTGTTAATCTTACAACCAAAATGACAAGCAAGTTGCATGGAAGATTGTGGCTCTTGCTCTCATTGCCAGTTTACAAACTGCTCCAAAATTCATTTCAAATATCAGACCACAAACCAAAATATAAAAGTGTGATTGTTGTAGAAGGGTTATCAATTGACAAGGCCATCTTGTTCATGTTTTGAATATTCTGCCTCTCTTTCACAATTTTGTCAGCTGGTCTTTACATTATAACTCTTTAACAGCACCATTAGTCACTTCCCTGAAAACTGCACAGGATTTCCAGGTGGTATGTTTTAACCCCTTGTGAATTGCCTTGGCATATTCCACCAGTTGAACCTTTCTATTATTGAAGTTAGTACAATATATACATTTTTAAATATTTTTTAAAAAATGATGCACCCTTTTCCCCCCTTTTTGCAGATAGGCTAAGTAGGTGAACCACTGCTGGGAGTATTTGCTGGGAAAACCAACCTTTCACTTGAATTTAGTGACGATGTCGGATGTTCTAAGTTAAACTGTGGTTATGTAAGATGGTTTATCACAGTAGTCTCACATTATTATCATTTTTTTTGTATTATGTATATATTTTACAATAAACTTGCATTATTTTATGTAGCCTGGAAAGTAGGTTGACAGAATAAATGTTAGAGTGACCAAATGTTAGTGACTTGAATAAAGTCAGCTGGATCAGAAATACTTCGAGGTGCATTCGGCTTTGTGGCTGGCCAGCTTAGTCTGTAGAGGATGAGCATCAATCTCAGGGTCATGGGTTTGAGCCCCATATTGGGCACCTTTAGGAGCCGTCTTGTGGCACAGGGATAGTGACCCTACCCCTAGACCCAGAGACCTGCGTTCAAGTCCCACCTGCTCCAGTGCTGTGAAATAACATCTGTGAACAGGTTGATTAGAAAAATAGGTTTTAAAAAAAGTTCTGTTCATTTCTGATTGGGGTATAATAATTTTGTTTACCTTATAGTTATCTGTGCTTTTAATGCAGTGGTATTTCCAATTAAATTGACAATTCTTGTGAGTTACAACTAAATGAAAGGTAGTTTTCATATTGACCTTATTTCGTTTTGGATTCTGAAAGGCTGGTTGCCATGTTTAACAAGTCTATTCAGGTCCATGTGACCCTGCAGCTGTATATAAGTCTGCACCCTGAGTCTTTGAGAAGGACATAGCAGTCCAATTTGGCAGCAGAATAGCTTCTTGCATCTGTTAAAAAGATCAATAAAAGACCAGCTTTAAAAAAACAAAGTGAATTCCCTTTTCTTGCACTGTGTTTGATGAAATGTCAGCTTCTATATCAGGATTAATTTCTGACGTTGTAAAATTTATTGCAGATATACCCAGCATATTTGAAAAGGCCTGCTGCAGTTTTATTTGTATATAGTATGGAAGGGCGAATTAAGAAAGCAATGCATACTGAGGTTAAAAGAATAAAGAATTTAAAATTTACCTCTGTTTAACATGAAGTGCGGATGCTCTTTAGAAACATTTAACAAGGATTGTCTTGTCTATAAATTAAGCAATCTTATACCTTTTGCAGTTTTTTACAGTGCAATTGAATGTTTTCTTCAGGGACTGACTGTTTTGTCCACCCTCTTCGATGCCTTTGATTTAATAGCTAGCAATTTTCTTCACAGAATTCTATCCATATAAAGTGAGTGTCTGCTGATAATCTTAATAAAGACTAGACATCGACAGTGTTGCCTTTCTCCGGGATGAATAAATCAGTTTGGGATTGGAATTTAATAAATGTTGTGTAATTTTGTGTTCACAAATCTTTTACAATCAGCTGTCTGTTGCAACTGTGTGGGCTGCTTATTTATTAAACTGTTCTTTTTTTTTCTCCTCAAGATCACATGAATTGTGAGGTTGAATCTCAGGACATCAACATTCCTGAGCAGTTTTCGGGACTTCTACATGGGTCACCTCCAATCTCTGAGATTCAGAACGATCCAGTCACTCTACTAGTTGCTTTGAGCAAAGGGGGAGTGGAAGCTGAAGCGATGCAAAGCAGAGTCTTGCCAGAGAGGCAACACTGTGCAACAGGGCAGGCAGTGAACACTGACATTAAGAACTCTGCAGCAGATATTGCTGAGCAAAAAGGGCAGCAAGTAATCCATAATACAGTCAGTGACATCCACATCAGCCAGGCGGATCCTGCAAATTCTAAGTCTGGTCAACGTGCAATTCCATTCAGCAAGGGAATAGAAAGACGGACATGTACTTCAGAAAGGGTACGACCTAGTGGAAAAGCTAAAGCTGACCTGAAATTTGCAAGAACCTTGTCAAAATCAGATTCTGAGCTCATTATATGTTCCCCATCTGAGGAAGATATGCTGGGAAGTCGTAGTGAGTCTCTTTCAAACTGCAGTTCTGTGAAGAAACGATTAGAAAAATCGCCATCCTTTCAATCAGAATGGGAGGAGGTATGTACAGTTACTGTTGTCTATAATTGTTGTTTATGTCAGTCAGCCAAATAAGCCACTTACTGGAATTAAATAATATATGCAGGAAATGGATTTTTCAAATCTAAAACTGTTACAGTTCAAGCTGAGCTAATCTATTTAAAGTACTACACTGGTTTAAATAAACTAATATTGTTCTGTCTGCAGCATCCTTAAGCTACATTTGCACAGATTTACTAACTGTAAAACTACTGTGCCTGATACAACACTATTGAGGATCTTCATAGACATCCCTGCTTTTGAGGTGGTTGTAATGAGTGTAAGCCATACAACTCCAGGTATAAGTGATTTGAACTTACAGCTACTTACTCCCACAGCGTGATATTGGCTTGATATAAGGAACAGAAATGCAGCACCTGCATCAGGTAATTGATTTAGGTTTGCTTTAGGAACAGTCAAGTTTATCAAAGAAATTAAGAAAAATTACCATCAGTTCTGGTCACCTTGAACTGTAACACGTGCGCTGAAAGCACCCAAAATAGCATTGTTTTCTGGAACCATTAATGTTCATCAAAAATATTATTGTATTTTCAAAACCGCACTTCATGGTTTCTTTGAAAGCTTTTGAATGGAGTTATTAAATAATTCATTTCTATCAATTTTTTTCTAGTATGCATGTCTAAATTATTCATTCCAGCCCAGTTTGATTAGGTATCCCCATGTAAACCAGAAGTGCGGTAACACAAACGGGGCATATAAGCATATGTGGGGCAAAAAATATCGTCTTGATAAATTCTGGTCTGTTGCTATGGTCAAAATTACTGACTTGGTAGGCCTCATCATGTCCTCTCAATATTGTGCCTGCATTATGTTTTTAAATCTATAGCTCAAGTAGCACCACTGTACATGATTAATTTAGTTGCTGGTTGTTTTAACATTTCCAACAATTAAGATATTCAAAAACAGTGATAGCATTTGTACAAAGGCAACTGATTTTGATATTTCAGTCCAGCCCTGCCATATCTATACTCTGAATTTAAAAACAAATCTCAATAATTGTATTCATATTTTCTGATTTTAAAAATGTTGTTGCTTGGCAGTTAGAATGAGGATAAGAGTCTGTTAAGTTTATTGATGTGTACCAATTCTAGATGTGCCCAACTGGATTACTGTACTTCATCAAGCATTAAATGAAAGAACGAAGTCAATATAAAAACCTTTCTACCAGGTACATCACTGGAAAGCAATTTTCATTATAGGTGTCAATCCTATTTCATGGCGTATGTTTGGAATTTCTCTTAACAAAGGAAAATAAGTTTGTTTAGGAAAAGCTATTTTTCAAATCCTAGCAACTTTCAGAAATCTGAATAAATCTGCAGGTGTTCTTGATGAACCATAAATAAGAACATAAGAACATAAGAATGAGGAGCAGGAGTAGGCCGTCTGGCCCCCCAAGCCTGCCCCGCCATTTAATAAGATCATGGCTGATCTTTTTGAGACTCAGCTCCACTTACCCGCCCACTCACCATAACCCTTAATTCCTTTATTGTTCAAAAATATATCTAGCCTTGCCTTAAAAACATTCATTAAAATCCCCCATGATAATTGCTGTACCATTTTTACATGCACTAGCTATTTTTATGTTTATTGCCCACCCCACCACGATGTCATTATTTGGTGGCCTATAGATCACACCTATCAGTGACTTCTTCTCCCTGCTATTCCTAATTTCCACCCAAATGGATTCAATGTTTTGTTCAGGCTTCATAGCCTTATAATAGTCATATTAAATAGTTGTAAATATGGCTGTCGTTTGCTTTGTCTCTTATTTTAACTAAGTGATCAGACTTTTCTTTATTTCATGTGATGTGGGTGTCACTAACAAGTGATGTCACTGGCAGCTTGTTGCCCATCCCTAACTTCTCTTGAACTGAGTGGCCTGTTAGGCCAGTTTAGAGGCCATTTAAGAGTCAGCCACATTGCTGTCGGACTGGAGTCTCATGTAGGCCAGACCAGCTAAGAACGGTAGAGTTCTATTCCTAAAGAATACTAATGGACCAGATTGGTTTTTAACAATAGTCACCAATTGTTTCACAATTGTGATTAGACTAGCTTCTAAATCAAGATAATTTCAACATCCCCAAAATTAAGTCTCTGCCTTAGATGACTTAACCAATGACTACTGAAATGTAACTGCCTTGTTCTAGAATGTCCATTACAAACAACCTATAAGTATTTATATTTTACATAAGAGCCACCATTTCTCGCAGAATGAAAGACAGCTGGTTTCATTTTGTTCTGATAGTCTCAGAAATGTTTTCAGGGCTACATGTATCACTATCTTTCATTATTCCAAGATGGACTGAAGTTGCTTAGTTGGAAGGACTATGAAAATTCCTGTATGAGTAATTTGATTCTTTGTCAAGTATATCCAGGGTAAAGTTCAAAGTATAGAAAATTTGTTACGTGGATTTTGGGGAGTTTGAAGTAGATTAGAAATTGCAGAACAAAGAAAAATTACCAACACATTTGAACCACCATAGAAGATACACTGCATATTTCTGTGGTATAAGATGTCAAGCAGTTGGTTGTTTCAACTAAATGTAGAGCTTTTCTAAGGTAGGTGTGAAAAAACTTAGCTGGACATTGTGCATTTAATGCAGTAAAATGTCTCAAGGCACTTAATGACATAGATATCAATGAACAATACACAGTCACAAGGAGCAACTATCAGGACAGCCCACCAAAAGCCTGAGTAATTATGTATGTTTTGAGGAGGATTTTAAATGAGAAGAGAGAAGCATAGAGTTTTGTGAGAGAAGTCCAGTGTTTAAGACCAAGATAGCTGAGAGTATTAGCTGGCTGCATTAGTGGCGTGTCTAAGATCAGGCTGCACAAGAAACTGGATTGGAACAGTACTGAAATCTTGAAGAGCTGGCAAGGTTTACAGAGTGAGCAAGAGGTGAAATCATGGAAGTATTTGAAAACATGGAAGAGAACTTTAAAAGTGAGGCATTATTAGACTGGAGTCAATAAAAGTCGATGTAGATATGATGTGAGAGATTTGGAATGAGTTAAGATGCAGTCAGTAGAATTTTATTGAACATGTTTCTCTTTGGAAGATGTGAAGGCAATGACAATATTTGCACAGTCAAGACTAGAAGTAACAAATTGAAATTGAGTGAATGTTATGAAGGTGGGTGTAAGTAGTTTTGGTGAAGTGATTGGAAACTCCTCTTCAGGTTCTCTTGAATTTCTCATAGGCACAGGGATTGCAAATATTTGTCAAATTAAGACAGTTGACAGATGAAAATTATGCACACGGACTGACATTGACGTTCAGAAGCAAGGCAATGTCATGAGGCTTCCAAATATTAGGTGTCAGATGTCAGTAATGTGACAAAGCAGAGACAGTGAAAGGGAGCCTAAGATAGATTCTTATGGGATTTAAAAGGTAACAGTGAGCAGTGGAAGGAGAAGGAAACAGGTAATGTTGGGCCACACATCAGTTGATTGGAATGGCATCAGGCAAATACAGTCCCACCAAGTTCAAAGATGGTGAAATCGTCTTGGTGGACGATGACATGGTCACCTGTATTGAAGATTCCAGATAAATTGAGAAGGATGAGAAAGAATAGTTATGGACAATCTGTCTTTGGCGTGCTCATCTTATTTGTGCAAATTTAGTCAGAAGTTAAAGGAAATAGGTGCTAAAGTTAAGCAGTCATACTTGTTTCTCACTCCCGTTGAGTGTCTTGTTGCATGCAAATTCCCTGTAGTCTACTGTACACATTTAATAGGTTCACTTAACATTAAAAAAAACTTAACAAGAGAGAGATCAATAGAATTGAATTGACACATTTGATTTTTATTGGTGCATATATCTCTTGTAGTGTCAATCATGTGCTAAGATTTATAAAGGAATTTAAGTAGGTTTTTAAATAAAAATGCTAGAAGCATGTTTGAACAGAAGATGATTATAGATTGTTTGTTTTGTGAAGGTGGAAGGTGAATTTGGAAATGGCAATCCTACAGGCATGCCTTGTTCAAATGTATTCAGTGGAAATGTAACCAGCTGAAAAGTTGTGATTTGTTAACATCATCACACGACAGTATTTGGCACAATGCTGGGAACTTAAACAAAGGTTTGAGAGCCTTGTTTCAGACCAAATATGGTAAATTTGAATGTGTTCAATCCAATCTACAAACAAGCGGGTATGATCATGAAAGTGATTTTACTGTTAGATTTTGTTAGTACGATTTAGTTTTAGTAATTTTAATAATTTCTTTGGATTGGTGTTGAGACTGAAGTGATTCGTAATGGCATTATTTGAAAATGGGCATTATATTTCTTTTCAAGTGCTCCCTTCAGTTTATGTAAAAATATTTTGTGTTCGTCAGAATCTTGCTGGAAGTTTTTGCAGCATGTTGGCATGGATTCTGTTAAGTCATTTTGCTATGAATTTATAAGGAGACATTTCCTATTAATAGTGTCTCTTGGGTAATCAACAGCAGGAGTCACCTGACTTGTGTCCTTACACAAACAACAAAATTGGTGATTTCACCCAAATGGAATTTTAGGTTTTGGTTCCTGCTTTATTGTTGGAAAATTGGAGAATTCTCCAGGCCAAAAAAAAAGCACCTTTTCACTTTGCTAGCCCTAAAGGTGCACTGTTATAGTTTTCCAAATACAAAAGTTCAGGCGGTTGCTTTATATTATCCACTCACTTGCCCGTGATTTTCCTGTTCATCAAAGTGCATGAAATTATGGTCTGGCAAGATCACAAATAAAACTTTGGCCATTTTGTCTGATGTAAAATCACATCACTTAGCCTAACCACCACCTCCAAGTGTTGATGGCAAAAAGATTATTTTAAAATAACTGAAATTATTTAGTTCAAAGCAACACTTTAATGTCAAGACTAAAGCTAGTGTGTTAACCTGCAATGTTTAAATGACAATTAGATTTGAAGAGTGTTACAGCACAGAAGTTGGACATTGTTTGTTTTTCTTGAAATGTG